TAACTGGTTTTCCATGGAAAATGACCCCCGACTGCAGCTCGTAAAAATGATTTAACTCGCCTTAAGTCGAACGTTCAATAAAATCGAACTTCCTTTTGTCCGGGCCACACTCAGATTTGCATAAATATAATAAATATATAGTTGCATTGTGCTCGTCCCTCTTAGGAAATTAAAAAATCAGTTTAAGCAGTTCCCACGAAAGACACACGCTTATGCATTATGCTTGGAACAATGATAGCTGCAATAAAGCGAAGTCTATAAAAGGCTGTTCGTGTTGAAAGCTCTTTCAATTAAGGTTAATTTGGCCATATAAAAATCTCGTTAACTATTCGCACTCTCAAGTTGTTTCAATGTTGTCAACAAAAGCTTTAAAAAAGAGACACTTTAATATTGCTTCTTCTTTAAGCTAAAGTTTTATTTTATTGTGTAGCAATAAATATTCGCCCTTCTATGCGATTTTCATGGCTTTTAGTTAGGACTTAATATCATGTTTTTGTCATTTGGTAAACGATTTTTGATAATAATCAAAATATTTATCACCTCTTGTTATATTAAGTCTCATTCAGCTTCTTTTTTCTTTTGCCTATTGGTTTTCTTATCTTATTTCATTTTCACTTCTCATTCATAATTTTAACTATTTTTTTTTTAATCTCTAACTGTGTTTTTCTCTTTCTCTTTGCTTTTTATTCTTTCGTTTGTCTATTGGTTTTCTTATCTTATTTCATTTTTACTTCTCATTCATAATTTTAACTACTTTTTTTAAATCTCTAACTGTGTTTTTCTCTTTCTCTTTGCTTTTAATTCTTTCTTTAAATTTCTCTTTTTTCTCACTGTCTCTTGCACCGCCTCTCATTTTTTCTCTTTCATACTCTTGCTCTACCTATCTTCTATTCTCTTTGTATATTACTCAATCTGTCTCCGTGTCTTCTCATCTTGGTCTCTTTTAATCCCTCTTTCTCTCTCTTAATCTCTAAAATATCATTCTGTCTATTTTCAAACTATCTCTCTCTCTCTCTCTCTCTCTGCCTCTCTTTCGTCTCTTATTTTCCCTTTGCCTATTCTTGTCTTTTTGCTCGCAATCTATCTGACTCCCCAACCCTGTCTTTCTGTCTCTCTCTATCTCTCTCCTTACCTTCCTCACTTTTTCTTTAAATTCCTATCTCCGTGTATCTTTCTCTCTGTCTTACTTTCTACACCATAGCTTGCTCTCAATCTTTCATTGTCCATGTCTCACTATCTCTCTTACTCTCTCTCCTTTACTCTCTCACTTTCTCTCCCTCTCGCTGTCTCACTTTCTCCCCCACAAAACCTCTAAAGGTACTCCCAGGTCACTCACACTTCGCTTTCAGCCTCGTTACCTTTTCCATTTGACTCGAAATTAATTACATAAATATTTTTCTAGCCACAACAATAATAATTAATCTGAAATAATTATCATATGCAAAGGTTGAGCATGTGAAAAATTGATACAATTCAAGAGATGAAACGGAAACGTGATGCTGGCTGGCATAGCTAAGCCCTCGACATATGAGTAGCCATTTGTTAAGCACAGATGCTGCAGTCCATTAAGACAACGCCCACACACACAAATACACATATGTGTGTGTATTTGAATGTCAGTTCACCTTTTGGCCTGGCGCTGAGTCAGAGACTGCGGTTCGGCCAGGCTCATCAATTTCTGCTTCGATGTTCAATAAAAATAAATCGTAAATCAATAAGCTGCACTCAAAGTTCAGAGCCAAAAATCTTGGCCTCACTCTCGCTGCCCCTCCACTCCTCTCCCTCTCTCTCCTCAACTCCCTCTTTGAAGCTCTGCTTTTTCTTGTAAAATTTAACAGTTTTTTTTTTATAAAATTCATATTTTTTTTGATTAATTGGCCTGAAATACAGTTTCATCTGAAATATATTTTGATTGATGCTTTTATAATTTTTGTCCATAAACTGAACGATCAGACACTTTAGCTGCTGCCTTAAATGTATATATATAGACAATCAAGCTGATGCAGCAGTTGCAGCTCTCTTTATGGGCTTTCAAGGCGGCTGGGCAGTCGGCACAGGTGGCAGGGTGGGCAGCGAGCCACAGGTGTTCGCTGAGCAATTAAAAATGTAAATTTCAAATTTTTCTGTCTAAACGTTTCTAAACAAATGAAGCCGCAGCGTGCCGGATCCGGCAACGATTTATGCAGTCAAAAGAATGGGAACATGTTTTTCTTTTCTTTCTTTCTGTCTGTCTGTCTGTCTGTCTGTTTTGGGACATGGGGCATGCGGCATGGGGCATGTTGCACTTTGGCTGGCACAGTTACGAAAACTTCCGCATTTCGTTCTCGCTGCTGATGCTGTTGCTCTTCTTCTTCTTCTTCTTTTTGTGGCGCCCTTATTGCTGGCTAGGCTGTCTCTGTCTCTGTCTCTGTCTCTGGCCTCCACACTGTTGCATAAATAACGTGAGAATTATGGCGCAGCCCAGTTGCAGCCTGCAACATAACATAAATATGCATGTGCAGCAATAAAGAAATTGTTAAATGCCCCAAATGGGCAGCGAAAAGTCCCGCTGCGCGCCTTTTCGATGCCCGCTCGACCATGGCCAGAATGGCTGTATTAGCTTTTGTGTTGTAGATTAACTTCTGTTGCTGGGAACTTGATATATGGAATGTATACTCGAAAGTATTCTCTTCTTAATAGGTCTAAAATAAAAAGGTCTAAAATGATCGAGTGTTTCTTTACTCTTCTTCTCTATTCTCTCTTTCTTCTTGTCTAACTTTCTTGAGCCATTTCTTCACTTGCTATCTCTCTCTCGTTGTTTTTCCTTATTTACACTTTTTCTCTTCTCCTTATTTTTTGCCTCAATCTTGTTTCTTCTTTTGCCTTGCCCTCTTTAAGCTTTCCTTTTGTTTCTCTCCTTTATATTGGGCCTTCTTTCTTCACTCTTTTTACTTTTTATTGCGATTTCATATTTTCATTGCTTTTCTTCTTTGGTCTCTCTTCTAGTCTTAATCTTATTTTCGAGTCTCTTCTCTTATTTAATATTTTTCTTCTCTATTCTTCCCTTCTTTTCCCCCACTCTATTCACTTAATTTTTCTCGTTTTACCTTCTTAAGTCTTATATTTTTTATTTGTCTCTATCTTATTGACTTCTCTTCTCTACTTTGACATTTATTTCCGTCTTTTATGTTATTATCTCTCTTCTACTTTTCTAATGCTCTTCTCTGTCATTTCTCTTTTCATCATTCCATTTCTTAAACACTTTGTTTGCCCTTATTAGTTTCCTCTATCTTCTTGAAGCTCCTTACTCTCGTCTAGTCTTTCGTTGCTCTATTCTTCTAATCATCCCTTCTTTACCCTATTCTTATGCTTCGTAAGAGAAGGGAAGAAAGAAATCGAAATGAGAAGTTCTTCTATGAAGAAACATATAGAAAGTAGAAGCTACTTTTCTTTCTTCTCTTCGCTTCGCTTCTCGCTTGCTGTCTTCTCTTCTGTAGTTGTTCGGCTCCCTTGTGCGCCGTTCTCTCTTCTTCTCCACACATTCCTTGTCCGTCTTTCAACGTCTTTCTTAACTTTTCTTACATAAAAATCGATTACTCATAAATAAAGATATTTCTGGATCTTGAACGAGTATTAAGCAGTCGTTTATCTTCGCCGTTCTTATTTGCTTTGCTTTTTCTTTTGTTTTTTTTTTGTATATGGCTTAAGCGAAGTCACAAATTTGTGTACAACGGCTCACGTCCACAGCTACAGGCAGCAGCTATCAGCCTCAGCCGCAGTCTGAGCCTGAGCCTCAGCTCTTCGCCTCGGCTTCAAGTGTAGTCAGTCAGTCAGTCGTTGACCACGTCACGCGTCTGCAATTGTTTGGCCCGTATTGCCAATTACGACACCAGCAACCAGCAGCAGCAGCAGCAGCAGCAGCAGCAACTGTTGCCTTCGTACAGCTACTTGCAATTTATGGTTGCTTCTTTTTATTGTTTGGCTTTTTGGGCAGCTCGAAAATCGAAACAAATTCAAAAAGCAAAAGGAAAACCGCTTATTATCAACGTTTATGTGTTGGGTCTGCTGGCGGGCAAAAGGTCTCCTCATGTTGTTTTTACACACTTACAGTTTGACAGCAACTGTTGTTTAAGCGAATATATATAACGGCTTATACATTATTGCAAGGTTGTGGCCTAACAACAAAAATCCATCTCGTAGCTAAAGCTCTGCATTGGAAGCTTTTGCCTCTCTATGCAATTCTCATAAGTCTAAGTCAGTTCTGGCTGCTTGTAAAGTAAAAGTGTAAATGCTTTTCGACTTGTTTCATAGTGAAGAAGACAGGTAGGTTTAGTTGGGAGTATCCGACTAGGAGATACTTTTTATCATTGTAGGCTTCTGCATATGGAAGGACTGAGGAAGCTACTCGCAGACGATCGACTTAGCTCTTTGTCCTGATCAAGAATATTTATCATTTATGCTATGTGCCACGCCCTCTTTTGCCTATCACATACACTGAAACTGAATTGCCATTTTTAAGTGGAAATCGCATCCAAATGATATGAACTTCTACAAAAAAATGTCTAAACTGAAAGACTTATTATATATTGCATAGATACGTGAAGTATTTAATGAGATATCATATGAAAATACTGCTCCACTTAATTGGAGTTTGGTTCGTTAACGTATTTCATTCGAAGCTAATAGAAAACTTGGAAGTTTTCATCGCTGATTTCGACACATTTCGTGACGAGTTGTTCAATGTTCAAAATGACATTCGGATTGACATTTTTGTGTGTGTGGACAAACAGATAGACAAACAGACAATCAGACAAACAGACAGACAATCGTCGAGTTGTTGTCGCCGAGGCGACAGATGCAGACGCTACTGCTCTATGGGCGCTGGCCAACCTGTTGGCCCGTTTATTATGACAGCCAATTGGCCCGGCCAATTCCAGCTGGAAAAGTCAGTTTCGATTTTAGTTTGCCAAATTTCACTTTTTACTTTGCTGATCCACGGCTCGATCTCTCACTCCCAACAGGCGACACATTTGCGTGCAGCAGCGAACCATCACGATGCCGGTGAAGACGACGGAGGTGTACACGCGACCCACCTGGAAGCACATCAGCACGCCCTGCCAGCCGCCCACGCATCCCGGCCAGATGTGCACCCGCGTCCAGCTGGTACACGAGCAGGCCTACCGCGATGTCATCAAGCATAAGCCGGCCCAGCAGCTCAGCTATGAGTGCTGCACGGGCTGGAGCCGGGAGACGCCGCGAGCGGATGCGTGCAAGAAACGTGAGTAGAGAGCTGAGAAGAGAAGAAGAAGAAGGAATGAAGAGCAAAGGAGGAGATCTGAAAAAGAGAAGAGCAGAAGAAAAAATGAGAAGAAGAAAAAGAGAGAAAGAGAAGACGAGATGAAGAGAGGAGGAGATTAGAAGAAGAAAAGAGGAGATCAGAAGACTAGAAGAGGAGAAAAAGGGAATGCAAATAGAGAGGGAGAGAAGATGAGAAGAAGGGATGAGGAGAAAAGGATAATAATGTAAGAGGTAAAAAAAGAGATGTATCTATGAGAAGTAACAAGAGAAAATAGACTACAGACGACAGAAGAGAGAAGAAGACGAGATAAGAAAGAATAAAGAGGTAAAAAGAATAGCATGAGAACAAATGCAGAGAAGAGAGAAGAACAAAAACAAGAGTAAAGTGATTAAAGATAAAGAGAATGAAGAAGAATCTTTATAATCGTAAAATTTCGCTTGATATCCGACGCAGCTATTTGCACCACGCGCTGTCAGAATGGAGGCAATTGCACGGCACCGCAGACGTGCAGCTGTCCGGCGGGCTTTACGGGTCGCTACTGCGAACAGGACGTGAACGAGTGCCAAACGGAGAAGCCGTGCGATCAGCAATGCGTGAATACCCAAGGCTCGTACTACTGTCGCTGCCGTCAGGGCTTCGTCTTGCAAGCCGATCAGCAGAGCTGTCGGAAGACCTCGACGCATGCCGACGATGCATTTGAGGCGCGTGATCTGGAGAACGATATAGATGATACGAATGCAGAGGTGGTAACCAGGCTGCAGAAGATCGAGCGATCGCTTGCCAATGAGCGAGTCCACACGAATGAGCTGCAAAAGTCACTGCAGGCCACGTACAGCGTGGTGGACACACTGAAAAGCAGGCTCAGCACGTTGGTAAGTCGAGCTAGTCCGACTGGGAATACTCTATACGCTGATTTAAATCTATCATCTTACAGGAGAAGCAAGCGATGGATGTGAATCGTATGCAAACGAATCTCTATAAAACAGAATCGCGCACCAATAAGCTGGAGAGCATGATAAATCTTTTATTCAAATGTCGAAATGGACCCAATGCCAATTGCCCCTGAAATGGAGCGAGGGGATGACCTGAAGTGCATTTGATTTTAGTTTTAATTTAAGCTAAAGCATAATTATAACGTCTTTGTCTGTAGCTGCTCCTGCTTGTAAGCCATTCCCCAACGCAAGTGCCTCCGTAGTTTATATGCAAAAATTCGAAATCAAAAGCAAAACAAAATATCAAAATCATTTAGTACTTAAGCGCATGTGTCATAAATGTATGTATTAAAAATATGAAACGTCTAGTTCTTAAGTCTCACAATTTGCTATGTGTCTAGTATTTGCATGTATTTGTACATAGAATATATATATATATATGAGAAAATAGCAAAAATAAATAAAATTTTTGTATAATTCATATTTTGAATTTGACGCGCGTTCCAAACGCTGTTAAGTTAACAGTGAACTGTTATTACGAAGCAGTGCAAAGTAAGATCATAAACTAGGTGGCATTGCCATTTCCTTAAGAATAAACTTAAGTTTGGCGCCGTTGAAACTCTGTAAAGTTAACATTGTCGCGTTGCCAATTAGGTAAACAGTGCATAGTGAATATGTTGAATAAGTTGGCAGCACCTTTCACTTCGCATGGTGCTATGCGTGATACGGTAAGAAAGAGTAAGGCATTGTAGTGGACTAACAATGAAAATCCTATATTAAAGTATAAGTTTGCGATTGAATTGCAATAAAGAACGTTGCACATTTTTCTACTACATATAGTACCTAGTGCTGCAAACTGTTTGGTGAGGAGCCCATCTGCCACAATCAGCTATTTGTGACGTCACATTGTCAGCGAATACAAAGAGCTGGCCACCCTTATGTACTCACAACATAGCTGCTAATCGTGTATGACGTCACATTGCTAAGACACGCAGAGAGCTCACCCGCATATTTTGCACTCTGCGAGAAATTTTAACAACGAGAAACAGCTGAAATTATAATTGAACCAAAACAAAAGAAATTGCAATCAGTCGCAATTTCAACTATGCATTAGTAATTCATACAGTTAATCCAGACAGTTGTTGTGCGACCCAGAAAGCGTACTAAGGGACAGTTAAAGCTGAAGTTTAACCACAAGTCAAACATTAAGGAGAGATCCACGCTTATCTTCGTGTGGTTTTCGTGGTTAAAGTTGGATGTGGGTAACGCCCGCACAATTCAATTCATTGATCATTTGCTGTACAAAGTGCGAAGATGGTGGACAATAAACTTACGCTGAAGCAGGCCGAGGTCTCTGTGCAGCGCTTCCAGGAGCAGGCTGTGCCGCATCATTTGAGTCTGCTCGAGAATCATCGGAGCAACATTGAGAAGAGCCTCGCTCTGGGCGATTGGCATAAGATCAAGAAAGAAGAATTAAATGCCATGCGTGTAATTAAACAGATTAAAAATTTACTGTTAGAAATGGATGCACTGCGTGAGAAGCTGAGAGAGGAGGATCAAGCGCGCTTCGATAAGCTGATGAAGGTGGGCAAGGATAGAGCTTTTGAGGGCATGAAGAAATTTTCAGGTAAGCAAAGAGATTTGAGTGCATTAAATAAACAAATACTATTTGTTTATAGACTGGCAGTCGAGTGTTTATTTATTTTTACTAGTTCACTTGAGTCGTTCATAGGCTATCGATATTGATTACTTCACAGCTGAACAGCACAATTTAACGTATCCTTCATATGAACAGCTGAATAGCTCAATTGAACGTGTATGTTCATTTTAACAGCCGAACAAGTTAAGAGGAACTTAGGGAGAGGCTTGCAACTGATAGAACTGTACCCATCTCTGTTCATAAATCAAGTTCAGTAGCTCACTCTTGGCGGAATATTCATATTTCATGTTGTCCATATATTTCTAATAAATCTTTTGTTTATTTACAGAGTTGCAGCTAAAGTCGCCTAGTGCGCAGCAGGATGACGATCAGGACAGTCACTCCTTGGTGGATGTTGACAATGTGCCCGCTCTGCATACACTGCCGCAACTGCAAACAAATTTCCAGCTGGAGGAGCATCAGCTAATGCAAAGGCAATCATGTCTGGAGCAAATGGAGCAGCTGCAGCACGAAATTTATGACCTAAACGGCATGTTCCATGGTATGCGAGAACTGACGCAGGAGCAGGCAACCAGCGTACAATCCATTGCAGACAATGCAGAGGAAGCTTTAGAGAATGTAAATGAGGGCGAAAGACAGCTAAGGAATGCGTTGACTTACAAGAAAGCGATGTATCCACTTGTGGGCGCGCTAGTGGGCACCTGTGTAGGTGGACCCATTGGTCTTGTAGCTGGAATAAAGGCGGGTGGCCTTGCAGCTGTGGGCTGTGGCATACTTGGATTCACTGGAGGATCTGTGCTGAAAAGCAATCCAAACGTGATGCACGGCAGCATCGAGGAGCAGCAAGCACAGCAGCAGGAGGAGGGCAATGATTCCACAGAAACGCTCGAGCTGGCAGAGAAGTCCGAATGACCAAGAAGCTATTCGGGCGCCTTGGCAACAACGAACATGTGGTCGGGCAATAGGCGGCGTCTCGAAGCGGCCACCACGGGTGTCATATGCAGTGTGCGCAGCTATTGTAGCCTACAGTAGGGGTTTAGGCAAAAAAGGACGATGATAACCTTCTTGAATTTGTTTACGAGAGCAGAAGCTCTCATTTGTTTGAGGATAATGGATAAATCACTGTGCAATTCGTATTTCATTTAAGTTTAGACAAAATTTAACTCAATTCAAATCAACTTTGACATATGCCATTAAGGGAGCAGCTGCAATTCTAGTTTTCCTAGGTCAATCTTTCCATTTTGCTTAGCAGACTCAGAAGATCTAGTTTGTAAGTACAAACTCTAATTCTCTCTTCAATTCGATTCTCATTTCCTTTCTGACTGACTGACGATGCGTAAACTCGTCTTGGGATGCTCTTAAGCGCCCCTTCTTTCTTTTTGAATTCCTTCTCTTGTCTAGTAGAAGAGTTGCTAACAGGGCAAAAATTTGTGATCCATCAATCTCCATTTTGTGTAGGAAAGCAGTTGCTATTCCTATCTTCTCTTATTTAAGAAACTCACTTCGATACTTCTCACATTTTCTTATTTCATACCATCTTCTGACTCCAGATTTTTCATATCTATTCTCTTTGTCTCTGAACTAGTTTGAGCGTTAAATATTTGTTGTTTTAGCCATGACAGTTACCAAGTAGCTTACACATATATAGCATATACCTTCTATAAACGTTTATCCATTAATTTAAATATAATTATATTAAGCTTAACGTTTCATGTGTAACTTTAAGGTTTTTTAATATGCAATATAAAAACTTCTATTGCTAACAGTTAAGTTGACTCTAAACAGATTTTTTACTATATGCTATGTACTTAACAACTAGGCGTGGTTGGGCGTGGCACTTTGGGCATTCCCTTTTATAACGGCACATTCACCGTTGTCCAAGCCTGCTTGAAGTTCTTCTTTTGTGCGTGCTGCTTCTTGCGTAGACGCTTCGCTGTCTTCTTTCGTTTAAACCACTCGGGATAATTGCCAAATTGATCTTTGAGCGTTTTACTATTGAAAACGTGCTCAACGCCTGTTTTCTCGTTCACTTGTCTGATCTTTTGGCCCTTCTCTAGACTCTCTTGATGCTCGTACATCAGCTCCTGCTGCTCTTTGGTCTTGGCTGCCTGTTTTTGATTTGATTGTCAGCACATATTTTACATTATATACCTCGTAGTCTAAACTTACTCTCTTAATCTCTTTAGATGTCTTAATTTCAGCAACTTCGCCAATTTCCATTTTGATTTCCTTGCCATCAGCATCCAGCAGACCCAATGTTTTCTTCAGCCGTATTAATTCCTTGGCGTCATAGCGCGCCTTCTTGATTTTGTTCATTTCATCGCGGCGTTTGCGCGAACGATTTTGGCGACCCATAATACTATATATTTAAGGATCGGCAGAATATATTCAATTTGCGTTGCAGAAACGTCAACACGTGCAGTAGCCACAGAAGTATAATATCGACAACGCCTATCGATAGTTTTTATAAGCGTAGATACAAATTTTATGCCACTCATTTTTGCGTTAACAGCAATCATTAAATGATTAACAGAGTGCTGTTAGCACTTTACTCAAGTGAGCACAGGCTGAAATAATAGTCAGTTAAATTTAAATTTGGGATTTTGTTGCTTTACTTTAAACTAATAAAAACATTAAAGTCAATAGTTAACGTACAGCAAATAGAAATGTAATCACTCAAAAGGGGCACGGCAGTATTAAAAATTGTATTCTATTTGAAATCGTTTAATATAAAAATAATATAACATAAACCGTTATATTGGGAATATTTATGAAATTGAATTGTTTATAATAATTGATATACATTAAAGTTGAATACAGTACCTAAAAATACTTCGCTCTGCAAATCAAGTTTTTTTGACGATTTTTTTTATTTCTGCCTATATACCCTATATGAAATAAGGCCTGCACAGCAAACCAGTTTCTCACTCTCATTCTCGCTCATTGGTTGCAATATGATTTTTGTGTACAAACAAAAGTCAGCTGCTAATTGTTTGCTGCAGAGAACAACAGAAAGAGAGGCAGAGAGAGCGAGAGAGAGAGAGACTCCGAAGCAATGAGAATACAATTTCTGCTTTAGTAAGTAATAAGGAATAAGAAGAAATACCCTAACTCCTTAGCTTATACATTATTGCATTAATTGTAATATATTTAAGCGTTTAAATAGTGTTTTAAATTTGAAAATATTATTTCTAGGTATTTACACATCTATAAGTACAACTGCTCTTTACATTCAAGTGCATTCAGTCCGCTTCAGTGGATTGTTTATGGTTAGGGTATTTCGTTAGTCGACATTATTTTGTCATGCACAGGCGCAGCAGCGTTTGTGGCAGTGGCAAAGGCAGTCATAACAGGGTAACTGTGCCGAGCTCAGCTGTAGAGCCACCAGCACCACCAGCGCCACCAACACCAGCTAGCAGCGTCGACTGGGCAGCTGAGTTGCCTCTTCTTCATTCGCTCGCCGTCAGTCGTCGTTAGCAAACGTCATCCGGAGTTTGTGTTGTTCGTCTTGCTACTACTAAACACCACAAAAGAAAAACTCACCCCACTCATTGAAAACTTAAATATTTAATTAAGAAACATTTCGTAAATTATTTAAGCTTCAGAGAAAGCATTGTGCAACATAATTGCAGCAGCTTAAGACATTTTCAACTCAAAAGTGATTTTTGTGCAGCCAAAAGGACCTTAGATTGCAGCGGATCAATAAAGCTAAAGGGGCAGCAAAGTAAGTGTACACAACTACAAATACAAGCACAAAAGCTAAAGCAAAAGCAAAAACAAAAATAAAGGCAAAAACAAAGGCAAAGGCAAAGGCAAATGTTTTGCGGAAGTCAACATAAAAATGGCATAGAAGTTGAAGAGGAAGCGTAAGAAGCAAAGCGAATTACTTTGAAAATTTACATGCATACACACATACACTGGCATACACAAGCAGCATGTATGTATGTGTGTATATATTTTATACAAATTAGTTTTAGGCATGATTTACATACAAAAAGCGCAGCCAAGCGCAGCATAAAAAAAATTCTGATTGCACCTTCGCAGAGTTCACACTTTATATATATATAAACATATATATATATATATATATATATATATATATATATATATATATATATATATATATATATATATATATATATAAGTATATATATATATACATATATATAAGTATATATATATATATACATATATATATATAAAATGTTATGTGTGTGACCTGTGCAGAACTTGTCCAGCCTGTCAGCGCAAAAGGTTCTACACTCGTATGTGTGTCTGTGTGTGTGTACCCTATAGCCTATGTCATATCTTTAGCTGCAAATCTTGCTTTCGACGCGCATCTCGCTTGGTTTTTTTTTGTTTTTCCTTTCGATTAGCCATAAATAAAACTTGCAGCACGTTTTCAGCTCTAACACAGATGCTTATCAAATGAGTTCTTCTTTGTGGAAATGAGCCAACAGTTTTTGTTTGTTTTTTTTTTGTTTTTTTTTTTTTTACTGAAAATATAGTAGTCTGACAAAGTTAGCAGAAATACTCTTTTAAATTATATTTAAATTGCTTAATATTTGATTATTATTTTAATTAGCCTTCACATGCATTTCCTGACGATTTAATAGATATATAAATAAAAACATCTCAAAGTCTTCCCATTCAATTTTCTTAGTTATGACCTCATCAAAATTGATACATTTTAAAATATATTATAAATATATTTAAACTGTCAACTGTTTGTCTTTTCAATTTAATTTAGTGTTTTGCTTCTGGCAATTTTGTAATTTTTGTAATGGTTTAATGTATACAAAATTTCAAGTGATTTATATTTTAGTTTTCAAAGTACATTTTCGACTTAAAATTTTGCAAACAGTTCGAAAAGCTTGAAAATATATAACTGCATTAATATATTAATATATTTATATATTATATGGTATATTAATTTTAAATTAGAAATTAATTTTGTTGATAATTTAATTTTCTCTTGAATAATCATAAAAAAATAATACAATTTTTTTTTCAAATAAAATAAGTCATAAATAATAAATTAATAAAAAAAATAGTTGTATTATAAAAGTAAAACAAAACAAAATAAAATGAAATAGTTGTAATTTCTTTAATTACTTAAACATTGATCAAATTTATATATAAATATTGTGTATATATTATTTTATAGTTTTTCTATTTCCTTTTTCGATTTTTGACTTTGGCAAGTTCTTCAAAATTCTTTATTGCCATTAAATATTTAGATATACATATATTTAAATATATATCTACTTATATATATCTAAAATCATGTCAGCTGTTCGCTATTTGATTTTCAAATGAAATTTGAAATTTATAAACAAATTTTCTTGGCTCCGAGCCAAGGCGAAAACACAAGAATTTCTATGTTATTTTCGCTTTTCTTTTTGTATAGATTGAAGAAATACCTATGCGTAAACCGCAAAAAAAAAGATAAATTGATTGAAGCAACCTTTTCTCTTGCTTGATGAGGGTATATCAAAAGGACCTACGCAGACAGAAATTACAAGAAATAAATATAATGAAAACCCCAATCAGGCAACATGCGCAAGTGAATCACACAAAAGTGCACAATAAGCCAGAGAACAGGTCTTGCAGGCTCATCCCATTGTTTTCTTCTTCTTCTTTTTTTGCTGCTTATTGTATTTGTCTTCGTTTTTTGGCTGTTTTTTTCAGCTGGGTGTTAGAGCGAGTCGACAATAAATCAAGTTGAAAAAGCAAAATGTTTATATGAGCAAAAAAATACATAAACAACAAACAGCTGATGTTGCGTGTGTGTGTGTTGTGTGTGCAGTCAAGTTGTTTCGAGTTGTTTCGAGCACGTCGCTTGCAATTGGCAACTGGATTTTGGCTTGGTCCAGCCCAGGCACGACTTGGACTTGAACTAACTAGCCGCAGTCGAATCTGGCTGTGGGCATCTCTTTAATTGGCAAACACGGCAAAGGGTAGCAGACAATGCAGCTGCACTGAGAGAAATTTAGATGCACAAATTACAAATTTTTAGACATTAAGTTGGAAGAGTTACTTCACAAATCCAAACCTGTTTTGGAATATCTTTAACACATAAGAATATCCTTAAATCTATTTTAAGCAGCTTCTTTTCTCTCAGTGTACTTTTTTCGATTACTACCAATTCTCTTGTTAGCTATTTGCGAACCAGTTCTGGCCTTATTTGGTGGGCTGATTGCATTTTAGTCAAGTCTAGTCTAGACGTGGCTGTATTGTAGACCCTTGGGCTTGACATAGAAAGTCAGTTAAACAATTAAGTCATCATTAGAGCGCATTAGTGGCTTTCATTAGCGCAGTTACCGCTGACACGGCAGTTTGTCCGTGCTACCTGTACAGGTCGACAACAACTAGCATAACAATAACAGCAAGTCAGGTAGGTCCGGCCAAAGCGGCTTTCTTAGTCAGCTAATCTCCAAATGGCACGCATTGCGAGCAGACCCTAGCCCCTGGTTAATTTACAAACCATCATTCGAAAGCTAGTCAACGACTTCATATACCCTGCCTATTGAGTACAAAATGGTTATATACTGCAACGAGCGAATGCTTAGAGACCTTACATTTTCATTTGAAAGTTGTAGAAATTATCATTATCATTATAGAAATTATCATTGAAAATTAAAAGAACTGTTCATGCAGAAATAGGCATTGGATATTTAGACTACGACATTTATACCCTGCTCTGTAGTGCTAAGAGAGTGTATTCTTACTGCGAGGTACTTTTTCACTCTTATAAATTGCGAACAGAGTGTGGTTGCAGTCAGTCATGTGTAATCGCCATTTTCTGCTACATTGTAACTGTAATTATGCCTATCACTTACACACACACACGCACACAAACTCAACCAAACAAAACTCTTCAAGTGCTTCGCTCTGTTTTGGGTTCGACTGCCTTTGTTCTCAGCTTGGTGCCTGGCCGTGCATGTCCCGACAGGCATATCGTTTCAAATTAACTTATGACATAAGCAACAATAACAACAACAGCAGTTTATGGAAAGTGAATTTTCCCGTGTGCGTCGTTGAAATATACCAAAATGAAAAACCCCGCATCTCTCAGTGGTATATCCAAACATAACTTTTCGTATGTCAACTTCTTTCCTCATCAAATTGATGACGTCATAAATGTATAGAGACTGTCGCCCAGGTAGGCCCAGTTGGGCAGCAATTTACATTTGCTAACTGCGCAGCTCTGCCTCTCCTGCCTCTACTGCCTACCCTGCTCTTGAATCGTTATAACGGGGTAGTTTATTTTTACATATGCGTTCAGCTGACGTGTACATTTTCTACTGGCATTTGCGTTGATTTGCAACGACCACAGCAACAACAGCATAAACCACATAATCGATAAGCTGCAGCCTAAATTAAACGCACCTTAAATATATATTTATATGTATGTGTGTGTATGTGAGCTTTCCAAAATAAATCAGTCGGCAAATAGCTAAGGTGACCCCCAAAAAGCAGAGGCAAAAGTTTTTTGGGCCACCTTTTTCATGCGGAAGTAACTGTTACTGTGTACACACAAGCGTACATATACATAATTGCAGTGAAAACTCACACGTACACATGTACGCATTTATATATATATATATATATACGTATGTGCAGAAAGTTGGGCACTGCGCAGGTCAAACATAGCAACTGACAATTTGTTTGTAAACAAAAATGCCAATGCGCTAACAGAGGGTGGCAGCAAAAACAAAATGAGAGAGAGAGAGAGGCAGAGCGTAGGCAGCAAGAGTACTGAGTGAGAGAGTGGGTCTGTTGGGGAGTTGTGCTTGCTTGCTGGTGACATGCTCTCGCTGCATGATTGCTGGAGAACTTCGCTCAGCAGCAGCAGCAACAACAACAGCAACAGTAAAAGCAAGACCAACAACAAGAAGACCCAGTAGCCAACTGTGATTTAAACTATTTTTAGCATTGCAACAGCTTACAGGATGAGGGAAAGGGATAGAGGAAATGGTATAGAAATAGGCATAGGCAAAAACACAAGCAGAGCAATAGGCAGAGGCTTAGATAGAAACAGAAGCAGAGGCAGAGGCAGAGGCTTAGCCGTATGCTTATGGGCAGTATAAAGGCAGAAGCATAGCCAGCGGCAGAGGCGTAGGCCGAACTAGAGGCAGAGTCAAAGGCAACAGTTGAGATAGAGGAAGAGGCTGTTCATGATACTAATATTAGTTATAAGCTTAAGCTTTATTCTGATTAGTTGTTTTATATAATTTATTTTTTAATATTTTCCAACATATTCTGATTAAAGTTCATTGCACATTGAGAGGCAAGTGAACTACGTTGCGTGAATATTTAAATTGCGTTCATTGTATTTATTTTGACAGAGTTTCTTGTAAGAGCTGATTGATTGATTGACAATGTTTACCACAAATTGACGCTTGACCTAGTGGCCCAGCCCGAAAGATATATACCTATATATATATGTATAAATATATATATACAGAGTTATTTTTGGGCTTCAAAGCAAGTGATAAAATAAATGCGATGTTCAGTGACAAAAAAAAGAATAAAAGATTGCCTAAAAATATCAACTGCGACGCATTATCAATTCAAATTACGCATTATAATATGCATCAATACAAAACAAGAAAGTGTTCATATATGTATGCATAAATCTATATATAAATAAAATTCCAAATGTCAATTATTAAGCTGTGTAAAACTTGAAATACTCAGATATCTATAGTATATATCTTA